AGGGAGACCAATTGTCTCCCTATCTATTTATTATTGTTTCTGAAGTGCTTTATGCTTTGATTAACTTTGAAATGGAAAGAGAGGTGTTTAGAGGGGTATTTGTGGCTAGAGGTGCTCCTATGATTACTAATTTATTATTTGCGGACAACTCTCTGGTTTTTTTTGTGTAAGGCAGACAAGTACCAAGTTCAGGCTCTATTATCTGTCATCTCTCTATATCAAAGATTTACAATGCAGAAAGTCAATACAGCTAAGTCCTCGATACTCTTCAACAAGAGCACTGAGATTGCAGTACAGAATGAAGTGTGCCATTTTTTCCCAGGCATAAATTTTTGGAGGTCCATCAGATACATGGGAATGCCTCTTGGCATAGACAGGTCTAAGAAGGAGGTTTTCAGTTTTGTGACAGAGGCTGTGAAGAAAAGGTTAATCAGCTGGAAGAACAAATACCTCTCCTCAACAGGGAGAGAGGTTCTCATCAAATCTGTACTTAATGCTCTTTCATTGTTTGTTATGTCCTGCAACAGGCTACCAGCTAGCATATGGAAGGAGGTGGCTAGAATGTTCTCTCAATTTTTGTGGAGTGGAAGAGATGAGCAGAACAAAGGGGTACATTGGAGAAGATGGGAGTTGCTTACTTTAACCAAAGATCAGGGACGACTGGGTTTTAAAGAAGTTAACCTTTTCAATGATGCAATGTTAGTCAAGCAACTTTGGAGAGTAATCACTCACCCTCAACTTCTCATGAGCAAGATTTTGAAGTGCATGTATTTTCCTAAAACCTCTATATTTGATGCTCAGTTGAATCAAAACTCTTCTTGGTAATGAAGGTCCTAGTGGAAAGTAAGGAGTTTGTTGAGAGAAGGACTGCATGTGAAGATTAAAAATGGAGCATCTGTGAGACTGAAGGATCATAACTGAGTGCCAGGTATTAGAGGAAGAATTCTATATCTCAAGCAGGACACTAATGGAAAAAATATCAAAGTGCAGGAACTGATTGATGGTACAAGGAATAGATTGAATGAGCAGAAGTTTAGGGAACTGATGAAGAGGAAGACTGTAATGCTTTGTTGCAAATTAAGGCTCTGGACATACATGCTGAGGATAAATGGAGATGGACTATGGGAGTACAAGGCAGATTTTCAGTAGGTTCTTCTTATACCTTCATTCACAAACAGAAATTTCTAGGACTGGATTTGGCTGAGGGGAGTGGCACATCCAGAAGGAATCAAAGAATCAGGCAGAGGACTTGGATTCTCCAAGTTAGAGGTAAGCTGAAACATTTTCTATGGAAATGTGTTAGTGGTTCTTTACTTGTCTGTGCAAATCTGAAAAAAAAAAAGGAATAGATGTTGATGTTATCTGTTGTTGTTGTGGAGAAGCAGTGGAGACATTAGAACATGTGTTATTAACCTACAGGAGAGCTAAAATGATTTGGCATCAAGCACATGTTAGCTGGGATGGTTTGAAAGTAGAGAAGGACATACTTGTAGATTGGTGGGGATCTGTGTGCTCCATCACAAACACTGGAATGGATGAAGCCAAAATTAAACTCTCAACTTACATATTATGGTGACTATGGAAGGCTAGAAATCCGTGAGTTTTGTATAGAGTGTGGAGGCCGGATCATGGCATTGTGGAAGGTGCATGGCTGGAATGGCAAGAATTTAATGCTATCAAGACTTGCAGAAGGAACAGAGTGATCTAGATAGGTCTGCTTGCAATTCAGTGTCTCAGGTTGTTTTGTTTTGTCTGTTAGGGTCATTTGCTTGTATTCTTGGTTGTCATTTGTGTATTTGGATCTGTATTTTCATCTGGAGGATTCAGAAGTGTTTGTTTCTGCCTCTGGAGTTGATGTATTGTGTTGTTATGTTTAGCCTACCTAATGTGGTAGTGCTCTATAGCTTTAGTCTTCGACTTTTAAGTTGTTCTAATGTATTTGAACCTTAAATTTTTTGGCTTATTCATATGGAGATATTCTATCGTTTGGAAAAAAAATAAAAAATTATAACAAGTCAATCTCAGCTTATTGGTTGACTTCACAAGTGAGCTTGTTCATAATCTCTAATTCCACCCTATTGTTTTTTACCAATACACGTGTTATAAAAAGCGCATTTTCGCGCTCTATATAGCGCGAAATAGCATGACATGACACGCTTTTCTTGCGATGTCTTACGTTTTTTTACGTAAATTTCTCACGCTATTGACCCTTTTTTCAATTTTATAAGCAGAAATAAAAAAACAAAATCGAAGTAGACCTCAGGGTTCACTCATGAAACCCTCACTTCATCTCTTCATCATCTCACTGGTTCCACCGCAGCCTCCACGCCTCTACGGCTCCACCAGAGCCCGACGAGAGTAGGAACTCCTCCGCCTCCTCACAACCAACCTGCTTCTTACAACATCTCGCATCTCGCCACTCCAATTCCCTGATATTCAGCTCTCGCCACCCCCAAATTACATGCTCCTCGGCTCTCGCTACCCTACATCCCCCGCTCCTTGCCCCTCGACTCCCGACTCCAAAGGTATTTTTTTTCAGATGATGAATAGCTTCATCCGAACTTCAGTTGAAATTGGGGCTTTTTTTCATTTACTTGGTGATTTAGATTTTTTGTTTAATTAGCATGATCATTTATTGAATTAATAGAATGAGATATAAATGATTGATTGGTTCTTGCTGTTTTCAGGGTTGATTTTTTTTTTTGGTTGGATGATTTGGTGATTGGGGCTGTTTTTTTCTTTGATTTGTTATGAGATTATGAACACCCTGATTTTCCCACAGGCCCCATTGACTGGTTCTTGTTGTAGTTTATAAAGAATATGCTGCCTTTACTTTCAGTTATCAGTATTGAACATGGACTAAGGTTCAAATGATATTTCTAAACTAAATTGATAGTTTGTTTGTCAGCTAAGAAAATGGGATAAGAGATTCATATAGGACTAAGATTCTAGACATAACTGAAGGGTGTTGTGAATACTTTGATTACAGTCAAATATGCACTTGCATTTTACTGTTGTGATTTGTGAACAAATAAATAAACTTTGTGTTATTTTTTTTTCATTTTCAGTTTAAATGTCGGCAAATAGAGATATCGGCTGGAAATATGAATTTAAAGTAGACGGGGTAAAAAACTATTGGATGACACACATTATTTTTAGATTTTGAGTCTTTACTTTAAACATTAAGAGCTTGTTTGAAAGAATTAATATTTGAATGTTATTTTATAGATTTAATGTCTAAGTTTATGTTTAAGACCATTTCAATTATTTATACTTGTATGGTTATATATATTATTATTATTTTTTACTTTAAAATTGAATTGTTTGAATAGCTTACGCAATGAGCTACCCTATTTCCGCTACGCAATATAAGAACAAAACACGACGCGATGCACGATGCGCGTTTTAAAACACTGTTTATTACCATCATACCCTTTTTCTTTAAGCAAAAATATCTTTCATTTTCCATTTTACCGGATTAAAAGAAGAAATTGTCAAAATTACCGAAGTTGGGATTCGAATTTTATTGATTTTTTCTAGTTAGGGCTATCGATTGGGGAAAAAAAAGCTTCTTGATTTATATTCACCACTTTTCTTATATCATACCTTCTCTTCGCAGATTTCTTGTGCGATCTAAGCTTGTTTGATTGGTGGTAAAATGGGAGAGCTGAAGGTGGAAAAGCATGCCAAATACATTTTATCAGTTGAAAAGGTATGAGCTTTCGATTCGTTGTGTTTCAATTTTTTTTTTTCAATTTTGCTCAGATGACACCACAAATGGCGTACTTTCGTTGTCCGTTTGTCCCTTTTTGTTTGGGCATTCAAGTTTAACATTGCCTTTGTATATCGAGATTCATTGGTTTACTGGAAATACTAAGACTAGTTATCAATAAACAAACAACTTATATGCTTGCTATCGGAGTTATCTAATTTTGATACCGACCCAGATGGATGTTGATCATGGTATGGACACTAATGCTTGTACGAGATGGCCTACTCATGGACTCATCATACTTTTTTCTTAACAAAAATGCATACTTGTGTTATGATCATCCTACATTTTCTTAACAAAAATGCATACTTGTGTTATGAATTATCCTACTTTTGTTTATGTTATTTTTAGAGTGACATTTCAGCTGTATGCATATCTGATGAAAAAGTATGATGACTTTACAACAACCCTACGACCCCTACTGCATTTATGTATTGTGAAATACGAAATTCTGTATTGTCTTATTCATTCTTTGTGGATATATATAATGCTACATTGGAGCTCAGACAAAAAAAAAAAAA